CTATTTTATAAGCTTTTATACTTACTTAAGTAATAGCTTAGCTTTTTATAGTTATAATATATAGCTAGTAGTCTTAGCTTTATATGTTATAAGGTGCTTACTAATTAGTTACTTTCTCTATTTTAGCCTCTAGATCTTCCTTAAGGGGTAAACCTAAGGCTTTAGCCTAAGGTTAATAGGCCCTTTATATTAGGTTAGAGAGTAGACCTCTAGAAAGGGGGCTATTTTAACTTATATTTTACTTTTTCCCTTAGGCGTTTCTATAAATTATTTTATAACGCTTTACTATATAATTTATAATTTAGGTCTTAGTATTTTTTTACTTCTTAAGCTACTATCTTTAGTATTTTTATCTTAATCTCTTATTAAATTATTTCTTCTTATAACCCTAAGGGTAGCCTAAAAAAGAAGTTATATACTTAGTTATAGCTATTTTTAACTTTATTACTTAGTATATAATAAATTATATTTTATTTAGTAAAAAAAGTTATTAAGAAGTCCTTTATTTTTATTTTATTTTAAATAAGGCGTAGTAGTACTTTTTCTCTTATACCTTTAGATTAATATAGGTTTAGTAAATAAATACTAAGAAGCTATTTTAGTATATATTATTTTTTAGGCTTATTTTATAGTTTTACCATTTTATTTAAATTATTAAGGTTACTTTTAATAGTACTTATATAATATAATAGCTTACTAAAGCTTTTAGTCTTAAGTTATTTACTTTCTTAATAGCTTTTATTTAATTATCTTTTTTTATAGTAGTATAGTTTTTATATAAAATATAATAATTATAATTAAGTAGTTTTTTATATTCTTTTAGTTAGTTTCTTATTACTAATCTCTTAATAAAAGTGTAAATAAGTTCTTAGTTCTACTTATATATTTCTATATTTTACTACTATATCTTAGCTTATTATAGCTAAAATAGCTATATAAGGTCTACTACACCTAGTTTATATAGGTTTAGTTTTAAGGATATATTATAAGGCCTATTAAAAGGTAATACTAACCTTTTCCTATATATTTACCTTTAAGTGTAGCCCCTTAATTCCTTTTACTAGAAAAAGTTTATACCTTAAGCTGCTTTATACTTAGTAATTTTTTACTAATTTTATACTAAGTTATTTAAGTTATTATTATAAAAGTATAATATTCTTTATTAGGTAGCTATATTATTTACTTATATAGCTATATTTCTTTTTATAAATACTTATAGTTTATTTAAGCTTTTATCTTACCTTAGTATTACTAATTACTTACTATTAGAGTTATAGCTTAATATTTTATTTTATACTAGTCTTTTTAGTCTATTAAGTAAAAAGAATTATAAAGGTATATAGCTAAGTGCCTTAACTAAGAAGGGTATAGAAAGTAGGTCTATTCTATTAACTAGACTTTTTACTAGAGAGTCTAAGATTTTCCCTCTCTAGCCTAGACTAAATAGGTAAATAGTTACTAACGTATTACTAAGGTCCTACTATAGTTTCTATATAACCCTTGTCTTAACACCTTTATAATATTAGAAGTTACTACACCCTCTACTAATTTATAAATAGTTAAAAGGCTACCTATATAAAAAGTAATTTAAAGACACTAAAATAGTATATCTATATAAGTATAAAATATTAAAATCTTAGGTAATAGTGCTATAAGTAGTAGCTAAAAGGCATTAAGTCCTTAGCTACTACTAGGTATATACCTATAAGCTTAATAAATATAGTTAATTAACTAAATTTAAGATAAGACTTATTATCTATAGTAACTAATAAGTAAAAGATCTATAAGATACTTATATAGCTATATTAGTAAGTATATTATTTAAAATACTTATAGTAATAGCTACTTACTTTAACCTAGAACTACTTTAATATAATATAGTAAATATATTTATTTATACTACTATTAATAAGGTAGTATTTATAAAGATACCTTTAGGCTACTAAATTACTAGCTAGATCTTCTAGTTATTAAAAGCTCTCTATAGGCTTAACTAATCTCTTTTACTATAGTAAAAGCACCTTAAAAAAGGGCTTACTATATAAGGATTTTACTAAGTACTTAGTAAGAATTACTATTTAAAAAAGGATTATATTATATTCTTTTTTTATATTAATAACTATATATTAGCTTATTATTATATAAATAAAATATAAGTAAGTAATAAGATAGTAGCACTTTAGTAATAATACTACCTTAAAGGTAGAGGCCTATTATAATAGTTCCTTAGCCTTAAGGTAATTTATAACTAAAGTAACTACTATCTTTAGCTTTTATAAGTAGTATACTATAATAAAATAATAAAACTACTACTAATAAATAATAAATATAAATATAATAAATTATTACTTATAGTAAAGGCTAAGCTACTACTTAGTAAATATATAGCCTTATTATAAAAATTTAACTAATATTAAAAAAAATAAAAATAATTCTTTATATAGTAGTAATAACTTAGCTAGATATTACTTTTATAGCTAGCTAGCTTACTTACTTTAACTATAATCTAAATCTAAATTACTAAAAGGCTATAAATTAAGTGCTTAGGTATTTTTATTAAATATAGTACTTTTACCTTAAATATAAAGTAACACTAAGTAGTAAAAATAATATATTAGAAGTTACTTTAGACGCCTTATCTACTAATAACTTATTAGACTATTATAGCTTATAAGTATATATACTAAAGCTATTTAGAGGGCTTATCTCTTAGTAAGCTAATAAATAAAATATAGTAATAATATTAACTACTAAGGCTAAATTACTAGCCTTATTATTTACTATAAAGGAGGCGCTTTTTACTAGTAAATTAATTACTACACTAAGTATTTAACTATTAATATAACTAAGAACTAAATTATTACTTAATAAGTAAGTAGCTACTAAATAGCTACTAACTATTTATATTAGCTATAATAATACCTAAACTATTAGGCTTATTACTAAGGAGCTTATTTAATTATAAATAAAGCTATAGTATATAAATATTTATAACTACTAGCTATACTAAGAAGTAGTAGTAAAATAAATTACTATTAAATATAAGAAATCTACTAAATTAATAGCTAATAAATTAATAAAGGCACTTAGTGTATTATAATTTACTATATTTATAGCTTAATTAAATATAAGTAACTAATATATATACCTTAAAGTAAATTAATAGTAAAAATTAGCTAATAATAAAGTAAAGCTTTACTACTAAATAAAAGAGGAAAACGTATAAGATACTAAAGGATAATTAATAAATAAATAGGCTATATATAGATAATATTTAGTGTAGGCTTTATAGTAATTAATTACGCTATTAGCACTAAGGGGGTATATTAAATATAGTAGAATTATATATAAATTAGCTAGTAAATATATAGTTACTTTATAGTAAATTATTAGGGAATAAGCAGTAAATTAGCCCTACTTTTAGGGGTAACTTTACTAATAATACTACTAGGATTAGCTAGGGATTTCCTAACTAAGAAATAGGGGTTTTTCCCTATTTCTATAGTAATTTACTATAGTTATAGAACACGTAACGGAATTAATTAAGAAATAATTACAATCCCTACTATTTAACAAGAGATTACTAGGACTTATAGTATAAGAAGAACGCTATATTAATAGAAGTACTTTAAACTATTACTATGTTAGACTAAATACTATAAATATATTAGCTCTATCCTGCCCTTAGCAAGAATAAGGTCACCTAGCAATTAAAGGGATACAGCCGGCTGTAGCCTAAGGCACTAATCGGAATATCCCTTGTTCCGCATCTCATGTATCATTCCGTAGCCTGCTTACTCATCATCCTCAACACCAGAATAACTGGCCTTGGTCCTCCTTGATACCTCATTAATAGGCATTCGTATATCCAATGCACCCAAATCAACGCCAGTAACCCTGCCTCATTTCGCTACGGACGCTCACCAGGCCATCGAAGCGATCGCGGTGACATTACGATACCACTATGTCGACCCGTCAAGCGGCACTGTGAGCCTACACTGCCAATAGCGACTGATTTCGAATCAGTCTTGGAGCTAATAATTTCCTGTTAGGTCCTTGTACCGTCGGTCACTGAAGCTGGCACTTGACTGGGCCGTCCATCGTCACCTTTGGAGAGGCCAGGCGCTCTATATCCGGTCACTGTTCGAGGCCAACCGGAATGTGATAGATTCTCGACAGAAGAGGGTGAGGGCGGACTCGATATCATTTTCCAGCCCACTGCTGCAGATTTCATTAGGACCAACGTCGCTAACAGCGTAATAAACAGGAGCTCCTGACCCAGACAGAGACCTTGTTGGCAAAGTGGAAGCACCCGGAACCCTATGTGCACCCGACCGCACCTGGCGGTTTGTGGCCCCATCCAAGAGGTACTTGCCCAGTGGAATAATGACACTGACGATCGGATGATAGGATCTAAATATGAGCGCAATCTTCGTGCCCCTATTCTGGATGGTTAGTTCCTCTCTGCCCTTCAGACTGATGGCATCCGTGCTAACTTGTGGACAGCGCCCCCCCCATTGAAATTCTAAGCGATGATGTACGCGGTTAGAGCGACTGGAACGGTTCATTTGGCTGGGCAACATGCGTAGACAAGGGTTTACTGCGAGGGGTATCGGCCCAATGTATTGAGTCGGACTGCAAGCGCTGCACCGCATCACAGGCAGAATGGAATACAGTATAACGCAGACAACAGGTTCCAGTCTCTCTACATGCGATCCTGCCGGTCCTTCCGCTACACCTCTGGGGCGATACAGTCCGTACCTCCTCACGTGCAGGTCAAGTCTACATAACATGGCTGTTGCGCGCACCGAATAGATAGTAAAATAATACCCACGGCCAAACGTTGAATGTAATGCGATGTATACAATTAGCCATGACGATAAAGTATTCCAGTAACGCGAGGCCGATGCGTTCGGTGTTAAAATACACGATGGGCTGTAACACTGAAATCAATACGCACAGGAAAGGACACTTGCGTATGCACTCCGAAAAAGAATATTCATTGTGGCAGAAAAGACCAACGGTCAACTACCTTATTCTCGGGTGGATGTGACGGGGAGGAAAAAATAAATGATCTTCAAAGGTATTCTCATTCGTAACCACAGCTTCCTGCCGTGGTATTATTGTACAACCCAAACGTGAAAATCAACCGTGAACCCTGAACCGTGACCCCGATGTCATGACAACCCAAAGCAGCCGACCAGCACGAAAGAAACCCAAACCCCAGACACCCATTTACAACTCTTGGCTCTGGTTCTTGCCACTCTTTCCGGTCTTCTTGGGCAGCAGGTCTGGCAAATAAAGTTAGATTGATGTTCAGATTTAGCGGCGCAAGAAACTTACTCTGGTGAATGTTGGGCAGAACACCACCCTGGGCAATCGTAACGTGACCCAGAAGCTTGTTCAGCTCCTCATCGTTGCGGATAGCGAGCTGGAGATGACGGGGGATGATACGGGTCTTCTTGTTGTCGCGGGCAGCATTGCCAGCAAGCTCGAGAATCTCAGCGGCAAGGTACTCGAGAACGGCGGCGAGGTAGACGGGAGCACCGGCACCAACACGCTGAGCGTAGTTGCCCTTGCGGAGCAGACGGTGAACACGACCAACGGGGAAAGCGAGACCGGCCTTGGAGGAACGGCTAAAGATGTGTCAGTTGAAGACCATACGCCAGCGTCCCATCATGAACCGGGCGCCATTGCCATTTAGACGGTGACAGCATGGGTGCACAGCAAAAACTTACGATTGCGCGTTCTTAGAACCGCTGGCCTTGCCGCCGGACTTGCCGCCTCCAGTCATTGTGAATGTGGGTTTTGGGGTTGAAAAAGGGGGGAGGTTTGGGTATTGTTTGCGTGACGCGAAAGCGACTTGGCTGGATGCTGGCTGCTGATTGTAGATGGAAAAGTGAGATGGGGACGGATGAGAGTGAAGATGGTGGGGAGTCAAGAAGTTAAGTAGTTTTCGCGTTGGAGGAACTCAATCACGGATCACCAGCGCGCGACTGGACGCTAAGCCGAAACCAGAAATTCATTCATGTTGTGGTGCATCATTTTCTCTGGGGCCCACGGCAAGGGGTACGTACCCGTTTTCTAATCGATCTTGCGTGGAGCAAGGAGCCAAGACGGGCTAGCCACCACTACTGGTGCATGCCCATGCAAGCACGGGCACCACAACACAGGGAAATAAAAGCCCCGGGAGGCCCGCCGTTCGTGTCCACCCCCATAACATTCAACCACACGTCTCTCCTTATTGCCTCTTTTTTTTTACATTTGTACTTGTCTCTCCTTTCCCTGATTAATCCGACCGTGACTGGTCAATTAAAAAAAGCAGGCACTTCGATGGTTCTAATTCTCTTATGCTGCCCTATTTGCGTATCCCGCCGGGTTTTTATCTTTTATTCATTCGTCATTCTCCTACAATCCTTTAGGTGGCAACCTATTCTCAATCCATGCTTCCCATTGTTCCCGTTCCTTTATTTTAAGAAATTATAAAACACGACACAATCAGCCAATCCCCTATGGTCATTGAGGCTGATGCTTCACTCGTTCGTTGAAATCTTTCAACCTTGGGGGGAAACCCGCTCTGAAATCATTATTATTCTCTTGGATGTTGACATCAATCCTGCATCTTAGTAGTCGGTTTACGTTATTGGGACCCAAGCGTACCGGAATTTGCTACACAACATCAATATCCGCATCGTTCTGGACCATTGTAGTTCGTCCGGGATCAAGCATGACCTGAATTCGTAGTACGCTGGGAAGACCAGAATGAAGTTCAAGGAAGGTAAAGCATGTCTGGAATTGGTACCACATGTCGGAAAGCGTTGGTCAGCCCAACTAGGCTCCAAAATGTGCGGTGCGGTCTGGTTCAATGCATCTTCACCGGACCCGGGGCATTTGGGTCTCATATGGCCCATCATTATGCTCTCTCCAACGCCGGGTTCGGCGCACGCAGAAACAGAGCCTTATCCAGCGACCCTTGTATGACATTCGCGATATAAGTTAAGTAAAATCAGATTCAGCCTTGCGCGGCAGCAGCAATGGAGGGGCTGACATTCTAGCGAACCCACTGAATTGCCTTCTCCCTCATTGGCTGGGAGTGGAAGACGCGTCGCGTCCTAGACTTAATGGCCTGGGTATCCGTAGCTGGGTAGTGTGTCTAGTCCACTCTCCTGACTGGTCTTGGCCTCTGCTGCTAGGGGTCTATCACAGAGACCAAGCCACCCCGGAGTAGGATCCAGAGCTGCATGTCTGGACAGGAGACGGCGTGGACAGTGGTGTGGGCCCAGAGTGATCCAGTCCAGCAATAGCCGGCGTCGCGCTCACACGACTGAGCATGGCTCGTGGACACGTCAAGGGGACTAGGCGAGGAGAGGCCAGGCACGTCACACACATCCAACTGCCCATAGAGGCTCCGCGGATTGTCGGTCGGCCTATTGCCACAGTTGAGGTCGCTTATTGCGAGAAAGACACAACTGCTTGTTGTAAAAGTTTTGCACGCAGATACCCTCAACTCACCTCTGGGCTCAATATGGGCATCATGACACGAGCCATTAGGATTGTTCTATTGCCTGATATAATGACAGACAAAGTGGCAGACATGCATACATGTGACAGACCGAAGCCTGCCACTCTAAACCATGAAAGTGAAAGTGAACGAGGCAACGCGCTCTGCTACTCGCGTCGTCAGCGTGCGACAGTGGATACGTACTCTTCACGTTTCCCCCAGGAAATAAACTGATTGGGAAATGGAAATTGCTCCCCTGTTGCGTCTCAAGAGAGCGAATTGGGAGACAGAAAATCTAGGTTGGCTAGAGACGCGACGATGTCATTGGTTCTCAGCAGCCTACTTTCTCTCCCCCAGCCTGTCTGACACGCGAAATGGGAAATAAAAATTAAAATGGCTGCCAAACTTTGCCTGCACGTATTTCTTAGCGCGAACGCGTCTCTTTGTGCCCCAGTACATGGACAGCAGCCGCTATCGTGATGCCGGAAGGCCCCACTGTGAGAGTCACAGCCAACCAAAGCTGCTCTTTGCCAAACCCTCCCCCTGCTGCAAGACAAGCGCACCCCCCCGGACCATTGCCTCACTGACCACCCACCCCTCCCCAAATCACTCTGTCCTCGCATCAAATCAGTAACGCTGCTAGAGCCTGTCGCGTCCAGCTACAAAAACCCAACCCACCCCCCGATTTCTTCTTCCGACAACAACTCTCCCACCTCTCATCATCCTGCCTCACCCACGATCACAAACCGCGCATCTCATTTCCACGCAATACCCAACAACACCTCCCACTTTCCCACTTCCAACACAAACCGCAAAAATGCCCCCCAAGGCCGCCGACAAGAAGCCTGCCTCCAAGGCCCCTGCCACCGCCTCCAAGGCTCCCGAAAAGAAGGATGCTGGCAAGAAGACCGCCGCCTCTGGCGACAAGAAGAAGCGCACCAAGTCCCGCAAGGAAACCTACTCTTCTTACATCTACAAGGGTAAGTGACTCGTGCACTCAGCGTTTGTGACGCGACCTGGCAGGTTGAGGATGGCTCGCCAGGCACCTCGCGCACATGCAATATCCGCTGACACACCCACAGTCCTGAAGCAGGTCCACCCCGACACTGGTATTTCCAACCGTGCCATGTCCATTCTTAACTCCTTTGTCAACGGTAAGCAACATCGAGACGCACCGATAAACGTTTTCATCCTCTAACATGATCTGTAGACATTTTCGAGCGCGTCGCCTCTGAGGCCTCCAAGCTGGCCGCCTACAACAAGAAGTCCACCATCTCCTCCCGTGAGATTCAGACCTCGTATGTTCTGCCCACATTGCGCTTGTCGCGCTACATATAACTGACCCACCCAACAGTGTCCGTCTCATTCTGCCTGGTGAGCTGGCCAAGCACGCTGTCTCTGAAGGCACCAAGGCCGTCACCAAGTACTCCTCTTCCACGAAATAAGGGATGCTTGTGCTGCTTTTCTTTTCGGGCATTGGATTTTACTTGGCATTTGGGTGTCATGATGAGACCTGTCAAGGTTACCAATATCCTTGGAGTCTCTTAATGCGTTACGGATGGTTTGCTTTTTTGGGGGCAATGTCTTCACGGTCAAACGGGGTTCGCGGGCTGTACAATACACCTTGAGAATAGGGTTTTTCGGACGAATGAATTCGTACACATGGACATAATAGCTGGCCCCCTTCTGCGATCCACGATGTGCTGCTTTCTAACCCCGATGTCGTCCATTGCAGCAAATCTATAGATTTTCGCCCGACGCGATGAAACATAGATGCGCCGCCAGCGTTATCCCAGGCCGGCCTTGCTACGCTTGACAACATGGACGACCGGCTGCAGGATGCCCTTGTTGTCAAGCGCACCAAGGGCGGTGCCGCTGCTCCAACCCATTCTTTCAAGCATCGCGCGTCCTTTGTTTTCCTGGCCCAATTCCGGCGCAGATCCACCGACAACCTCGCCATCTCGATAGACGACACTCGCATGGCCGCCGCCGCCGCCGCCGCCGCCACGTCGTGCTGACTGCCGCTGAACAGCAGCCCGCACCGCCGTGTCGTTGCGAGAGAAATACTTTCGCCCAACCCTGGCAATTGCGACATCAAATGTCTCGTCGGCGAATTTGGCGGTTCTGAGAGTACGATGTAACATGGGCCGCCGTTGGTCAGCCGATCCAGTTGACTTGGATTTGATATTAAACTTGCTGGCGAGCTCATGTATAACTTTTCGAGCATGGTTGTCCATGGGCGGCAACGTCAAACTGCAAACAAGGATTAGATTTCTGGGTCGGAGTTACGCAGTCACTATGAAAAGCTCACCTTGGTTGAGTGCCTAAAAGAAATGCCCTCAATTCGTCGGCGATCTGATCCAGCGCCATACCGTGCGGATACTTGATGCGCATGTCTTCCGGATTGGCGTGTTTACCCAGCAGACCTTGGGTACGAAGAGCCTGTCGTTCCTTCTTTCTCTCCGCTTTTCTTAACCGGTCGTTCTTCCATGCCGCCTGCATCTTACCCTCGAGCTCTGAATCCGAAATGTCGAACACAGGAACCTTTCCTTTGGCTCCCTTGCCCTTGCGCTTCAGCGCTGGACGGCCCCAATCCATAAAATCGAAGTCATCAACCTCATTAGCGAACTGATCTGCTGCCGAGGCAAATACATCATCGTCTATATCCGCCTGGTCTGTTGTTTCGGATTGAGGGGATACGTCTTCTGCAAGAGATTGATCGAGGAAGCCCAGGTACGAGACGTCAGTTTCAAGAGCTGTTAAAAGAGCATCATCGAGTCGTGTTGTGTTGCCCTGAACCGAGTGTTTCTGAGCTTTTTGTGGCAGTTCTGCGTCGACTGCGCGGGCCTTGATCTCTGCTTCCGGCCCCGTTCCGCCCAGTTGTTTGTCTCCCAGCACAATAGTTGCCTCGTCAGGAGCGGAGAGGGTCTGGAACGACTCTTCAATATCCTCGGACTCGCTAAGGGAACCTCCGATGTCTCGGCAGGAATAGGCTTGCGCAGGTATCAAACCGTCGTCATCGCCATATTCACGCATATTGGCGATGTAGTCAGCAATCACGTCATCCTCTTCCTGGCGATTCTGGGCCCTTGAATCTTGTCGAGATTGCCGCGGCAGGTTGAGACGGGCTTTTCCCGGCTCTCCAATGCTACCCTCTTCCCTGGTCTTAACAGTCTCCTCCACCACTTTGAGCTCTGTTTCAATACCGCCCAGGTTGAAAGATCTCTGTTTCGTCCTTTGCTTCTGTTTCTTTTCAATTCCAGCTGCCTTATTACGGCCTCTAAAAAGAATTACCTCGTCGCTCGAATCGGACGGAATAGGTGACGGCGAACGTTCGACGTGTTGAACTGGGACATTCCTGAGTAGGTTCTTATCTCTGGTAATATCGACGAAGAATGGCAGCGCCGTGGACACCTCTGGTTGTACTTGGGGTTTCACGCCAATGTTAACTTCTTGCTTGACAATTTCGGTTGTGGCATCCATGAGCTTGACTTGACCAGGAGATCGAGCCAGGTCATCTGTCAAGTTTGTAGGCGTTCCATCGGGTATATGGGTTTCATTAGACGTAGAAGCGGGCTCGTCAGGCTGGCCAAGCACTGTGGCCTCCCGAATGGGAGTAGACCCTTGTGTCTCTTCGTGTTGACTAGCACTCTTCTCCTGCTGCAAGATGGCTTCTAGGTGCTTAAGCGGCTCTGAAGCCCCAATGTTAACAAAGGTAACGGGCCGATGTCGTAACCTTGAATCACTGGTCCACGGTGACGAGCGATGGGCCGTGCTACGTGCCTCATCTTGTAGAGTGAAACCTGCATAGAGATGGGTTAGCTTGGCTAATATCGACGTGAAAACTGGCTTGTAATCATTGCATGTTGACATACCAGCGGAACCGGTACCAAGTATAGAGTTTGGGGCAGGTCGGTCTAAACCACGACTTCGTGGGCGTGGGACATTGCGTGGTGGCGCTCGCGCACCACCGCCCCGTTTCCCACCACGCGGCATGCCCTATCCGCGCGATGAAAGTGCTGCTGCTGTGTTGTATCTCGAGATTTGGATTGAGTTTCGAGAAAAAATTGTACTTGTTATCGACTCGAGCAGAGGATTGAATCTCTGACTGAGTACGTGCCTGGTAAGAAAGGGCCGGTTAAGGTGTATCTAGGATGCAGGAGGGCAACCGAAAAAATACACTTTTGGCCTGGGGAGCATTTCCACTTGGCCACTGTCCACATCGATGCGGGGCTCTTCCCTGACATCTCTTATCGATAATCACAGTCAATGACAGGTTACGTGTGTACAGGTCGGTGGGCCAGAGTACCTTTGTTGCCGATCAAAGAGGGTCCTGGTCTTTGGTACCTCCATTCTAACAGGGAGACACGCTATTTGTCCCCACATTATGTTAGGAGCAATGCTTTTGGGTGTCTTACTTTACACATGTAAATAGGTAGGTAGGTAGCCCCGTCACGTTTCCTTTGGAAGCAAGGAACCGCAGTGACCGTACAATGACATGCCCATGGCGGCAGCACACAAGCCCCCCACCATGCCCAGGCGGTGCGTCACAAGGACAGTCCGTAGGCTTAGTAGGTAGGTAGGCAGGCTGTTAATTACTGGCAACCTGCATCTGAGTGAGTATAGGCTGCCATTCCCCATTTCCTCTTGATCTTCGTTGCCTACCCACCTACCTTTCAGTTTACCTCACCACTCTGCTATCCATACGCGTCAACCCTTCTCATCTGCATAGCCCATCCGCTCACAGTACCCACCACCTACCTAGGTAGGTAGTCACGATATCTCGACGTGCCGCTTCAGTCCATCCATCCTAGGTCTTGCTCATCAAGTACCTTGATCCGCTGCCGCCGTCGGCTGCGTCCTTCTCGCCTCGCAGCTGATCGGCTTTCATCCAACCTACCGCCTGCAAGTGTTTTCTACCACGCGCCCACTATTACTATCCGACCCAGCTCCGAGATCCTGTTCCTGTCCCACGATTTGCCTATTGTCTATTGCCTGGTCGCATCATCCGACCTCTGCTCTGCCATCTACTTCGAATAGCAGGAGAGCAAGATCACCAAGCTTCACCTGAAGCATTATCGGTCCCATCTTGCCTTCGCATACGCCTCTAGGAGTACTTGACTTAAGGAGACTGGGTACACTTTTTGCTAAATTTCACAACTTGACTTCGCAGCTGAAGGCCATCCGCTATGGCTGCGGTAGACCTTGGTCGATATCGTCGCATCGTCCAGATGTTCTGGGACCCTGAACCCACTAACGACCACCAGAACGACCTTCCCGTCTGGTGCTTGGGACGCTCCTACACGCTGAGCACCAAGATTTCGAAAGACGACCGAGGCGACCAAAGTCAGACCCCACCTCCAACCGATGCCACAGAAGCAACAAAGGAACGAAGCGTTACCCAAGGATCAACCTTGGCGCCAGCATCACATCATCTTAAAGAGCCTAATACTCCGCCAGAGTCTGTATCCAGTAGCTTCTCGTCTTCACTCGCATACGATGAGGACTATTCCGGCCAAGATGGTGGATGGCCAACTGCATTCCTAGACGATTTCGAATCCAAGTTCTGGATGACATATCGTTCAGAATTTCCAGCCATCGCAAAGTCCACAGACCCTCGAGCCTCATCGGCTCTATCTTTCTCAATGCGCATCAAGAGCCAGCTAGTGGACCAGAATGGTTTCTCGTCCGACAGCGGCTGGGGATGCATGATACGATCAGGCCAAAGCTTATTGGCAAATGCGATGGCAGTAATCAATCTAGGGCGTGGTATGTACTACTGGCATAGTGTGCGGTGGTGGCGGGCTCTTGAGGCGTCCTGCTGACAATTTGACAGACTGGCGAAGGGGCCAAAACCAGGAAGAAGAGCGCAAGCTTCTCTCATTATTTGCTGATGACCCAAGGGCGCCGTATTCCATCCATCAGTTTGTTCAACATGGTGCAGTTGCATGCGGGAAGTACCCTGGAGAGTGGTTCGGTCCTTCTGCAACCGCTCGATGTATACAGTGAGCTGATTTGGTCCTAAGTTGGGAATGTTCGCTAAAATATATCGCAGGGCTCTTGCCAACGCTCAGATGCACCAGCCTTTACGTGTGTATTCCACCGGGGACGGGCCAGACGTTTATGAAGACAAGTTTATGAAGATCGCCAAGCCTGACGGCTCAAGATTCCATCCGACCCTTATTCTGGTGGGCACTAGACTAGGAATCGACAAGATCACCCCGGTGTACTGGGAGGCTTTGATAGCTGCCCTTCAAATGCCACAGTCTGTCGGCATCGCAGGGTAGGTGTCTTCCTCGAGATGAGAGGCGTCATGCTAACGAGAACTGCAGAGGTCGCCCCTCGTCTTCCCATTACTTCATTGGCGCACAGGGATCTTACTTGTTCTATCTCGATCCGCACCACACTAGACCCGCGCTCCCTTTTCATATGAACCCTTCTCTGTACAGTGAAGCAGATGTCGATACGGTGCATACCCGACGTTTGCGCCGCCTTCATGTGAGAGAATTAGACCCCAGCATGCTCATAGGCTTTCTGATTCTGGACGAGGACGACTGGGACGAGTGGAGGCGGAATGTTAAGCACGTACAGGGCAAAGCAGTGATTCATGTTGCCGATCACGACCCCATTTCGAGAGGAGGCGAGGGCGAAAGAGAGAGTGCTATAGACGAAGTTGAGACACTAAGCGATGACGATGGTGATACCATCCTGAATGCTTGAGGCGGACCGCCGCGTGCGATCATACTACTTGCTGATGGATATTGGAAATGGAGCCGCTTGGGGCATTGGCAACTAACTGCATGGAGGTAGGTATATTGATTGTCAATTGCGAATCTCCGACCTCCGGGGTAGCTGTTTCGCAAAGTGTGACCAGTATCATAGGCCATGAACCTGCATCATCATAGGTGCACATGATGCTTATACCAAAGGCTAAGGCTGAGCAACGATGGGTTGAGTGCATTCACATTCCGGCTTTGGGTTACATCATTTGGGCTTCCTGATTTTGAATAGCCGTCACGGATGAGGTCGATGGCACTCTCTTACAAGTAGATGGTAATCTAGCGTTTCTTCTTACCGCCTTCTACAGGCTTCACTATAGGCGCTGCGTGATCGAGGTCCCGGATGTGTGTAAAGAGCTTCGTCTTAGAGGCAAATGATTCCTTACAAATACCACAGGTGTGCTGGTGGATCGATGTCAACAACAAAGCTGCGTGCTGGAGTCGTTGTAGCAAAGACTTACTTTAGAAGTCTGGTCTTCTTCGGCTGCCTGACGAGCCGCTCGCTTTTCACGCTTCGCCTTGGCTTTCCCAACCTTCTTGGGTGGAGTTCGTCCAGTGCTATCAGCTTTCTCCTCGTCATCACCGAGCGACAGGTCTTCCAAGCTGGCTAGGTGCTTTCCGGAGTCGGCTCTTGATGCGCTGCCCTGGCTTATCTCGGTATGGAGGGTGTCACTGGCGAAAAGTCTCTTCTCGACATCGGCACGCGAGGCATACTCGTCATCTTGCAAACTGTCGGATGAGTCGTAGGACAGTTCGGCAACTTGAGGCTGCAACGTTGACTCAACAGGGTTTCCCGCTGTCCCTTCCGTAGCATCAAGCTTTTGTTGCTCGTTGGGAACCCCCTGTGTATCCTCCATCAATGTGCCCTTGTCGAGCATGGTAGGCGTCTCATTAAGGCCCAGGTCCAGATCTTCATTCCTCATCTGACGCCTCAATTGCTGCACAGCCTTGAGATGCTTCTTACTTCTTTCATGTGCCTCAAACGACTTCTCACTTTTGAACGTTTTTTTGCACACTACACACTCAATTTCTTCCACCTCTGAGTCGTCTTCTTCGCTTTCAAAAAACTGATTGCCTGCGTCCGCTTCATCCCTTGCCTGGGCCCAATCAGGAACAAACGCTTCAGAGAGCTTTTCCTTATTTGCCGCACGGGATCGGGCCGCTTGAGCGGCAGAAGCAGTGCGCAGAGACTCTTGGCGCTCTGCAGCTGTTTGTGTGTTTGGGAGGTAGCGGGGATCGCGTTTGCGTACAAAGGTGACAAGGAACCGGACGGCATCATTGAACTCCCGAATGGCCTCTTCACGCGCCTTTTTGTTCTCCTTTTCCATGAGGCGTCGAACACGCCGGTCTGGGGCGTCCGAAAGCCGATATTTGTCCTTCCAGGCATAGGTTTTGCGGGTAGAGAAACTTGCCCAGGCGGCGTAGAAGGGCCTGGCAACGGCTTCATAGCTATCGGCAGAAAAGCCAAATGAAGGATAATCTTGAATGTCTCCTGATGCGTACTCGCCGGCGACAATCTCTTCGTCGGCAAGGTGATCGAAGGTTGCCTTGGCTATACCAAAGAAGCCGGAAGGCTCGTCAGTAAAGGGAACGGTAGAGTTGAAGCGGCGGATTAGGGAGAATATATCGTCAGTTGACGTGAGCTTGACGTTGTTGTACTCGGGGCTGCGGTCGTCCGAGTCATCGGGGTCGACACCGCGTAGGATGGCCTCGCGATGGGAGTCATACCAAGCTCTTTCTTGGGGATCTGAAAGGACTTCGTATGCAGCCTGGACCTCGGCGAAGCGACGGGTCGCATTCTGGATATCGCTAAGGTTCCGGTCGGGGTGGAGCTCCAGAGCGCGTTTTCTGTAAGATTTCTTGATCCTAAAGACGCGAATAGAAACGTCAGGAAATAGTGGTGGCTGCCAGGAAGAGCACTCACTCGTCATCGGTTGCATCGCGCTCAACGCCCAGAAGCTCGTAATAGCATGTTTTGGCGGGCTGGGAGATACCCTCGCTATTGTCCCGGCCAGAGGATTGCTGAGCGCCCATGACAGGCCGGGGACACTACGGAGCTGCAAGACAAATTTAAAGTGTTTGGTCTCGCAGGGCCAGCTGCGATGTTCGACAGAGGCTCGTCGACACTCGAAGGAGGGCTGTGGCGATTACGTGCGTAAGGGCAGGGTACCAGAAGGAAGGTGTGAAAAATGAAGCATCGGGCGAGGCCGATGACTCAGAAGGTTGGGCCTATTGGGGTTGATGGGTTTGCAGGTAGGCAGAACAATCACGAATCGCAAAACGAGAGGTAGAAGACGGTGGCCAAGCACCTATCACAGACTCGCCTTCCATTTTCGAATTAAGTTAACACTTTAATCCTCATTTCCTTACTTTATGTGTCAACGCCCCTCATATCAAACCCGTAACCCCTCATCACCACTTTTACTTGATAAGATAAGAGGACATAGTCCTATTGCATCTACAAGGAGTCTACAGACAAGCTGATAATGCCCCCCCCTTGACAACCCGAGAGTACCGTGCGCGCTGGCCCGTGCACGGTTGAGCTGACAGTGGAGTAGGTGATAAGGCTCTAACCAATAGATACGCGCACACACATCACAAGGGTCTATAGGTCCAAAAGAACAAGGTTGGCTCTTCTCGCTCCACATAGTCTAGCAGTAAGTAGTGCTCCTAATAATCCAAAGGCTATAGGTTCAATCCTAGCTTTTTCAGACTTTTTCTAACTTTTTCTTTAGGTAATTCTAAAACGGCTCCGCTAGGGAGGGTTAGAATAGTCTATCTTACCCTGCTTCCTCTGCTGCGCTCCGGGTCAGGATAGGCTAAGACTATTCCTTTTTTCCCTCTGTTTTTTCCCTCTGTTTTTTTCCCTCTGTTACCTCTATTACCCCTATTTTTTTGCCTCTATTTCTACTTTTTCCCTCTGTTTTTTCCTTTTATCTATACCCTTATCTATTAGCTATAACTATATCTATTGTTAGCTTAAGCCTGCACAGGCCAGTACGTATAGTACTCTTAGGTTGTTAAGGGGGGGGCATTATTAGCTTGTCTAATTACTTATCTATAAGGCAAGACCTGTTTACTACAGTCTGTTACGTTAGTAGCGTCTAAAACCTATTTTTTAGTCTGTGCACCTACGCTATATAAATACAACCCTATATAAATTTATATTTTCTAGCTAATAGGATCTAATATTAATATTACCTAATATTAAATAGTTATAATAACTTAAAGTTATATATACTAGTAATAATAATAATAATAAGGGGATTTAGACCTATATAAAGCTACTTATTAGCTATATATCTAATTATCTTTTTAATACTTACTTTATAGATAGGTTTATCTCTTATTATAATAATCTATAAAAGTATACCTTTTAAATAGGAGGCTAAGTTAATAAAGTTATAAAAGTAATATATATATAAAGAAAGTAAAGTCTATAATAACCTTATTACTATTACTTATTACTACTATTTCTTACTAAATAAATACTATATTAAATAAATATAATAGCACTAAGGTTAAATAAGGATAAGTAAAGAAAGATAATATAGATCCTTAAGTTATTTAAGAAAATAAATAAAAAGATTACTAAGTAGCTAGGCTATACTACTTATATAGTCTAGTAATAGCGTTATTATTATAAAATAACTAGCTAAGTAGTAATTTATTATACTAGTTAGTAAAGCTAAATAAAGTTAAAAGTATAGTAACTAAATAAGTTATTAAAGCTTCTTACTTACTATAATAACCTTAGCCTTAAAGAAATATAGTATTTCTTTTATAAGTAATTTAATATAAAGATTTATAAGTTAATAATTAGTTAGTAGCTTTATATAGCTAGGTAGATATTAAAGTCTATTTATATTATTACTACCTAAAGGGATAAAGTACTATAGTGTAACTAGATATATACTATTTATAAATACTACTTAAAGTAATTAGTATTTATTAATAAGTTAGGTGTTAATAAATATATAGGTATATAGAAGATAAGTTAGGCACTAAAAAGACTATTAGTATATTAAAAAGATAAGCTTGAATATAAGTAGTAATATTAAATTCTTTTTACTTTTACTATAAATAGTATCTTTAATATATTAATATACCTAGGTATAATAAATAGTAATAAGTTTATAGTATAGATTTAAGATAAGGTTTTACCTAAGTATAGTGCCTTTCTTATTATAAAGTTAGTTATTATTATAAATAATACTAGCTTTTACTACTAATAAGATATTTAAGAGGTATATAATTTAGTTAATATATAACTATTATATTTACTACTATACTTACCTAACTTTAACTTTATTAAGGAGGTATTTAGTAACCTTAAGAGGCTCTTTTATAAGCAGTATCTAAGATAAAATAAAGATAAAGAGGATTTATATAACTTTAATAAGCTACTTTATAATTATATAGTAAAGGTTAGTTATAGTATAAATTAAATAAAAAGCTATTTTATTACTTATTTATTAACTTTAATAGTATATAAAGGTTATTTAATAATATATTAATTAATAAAAATAGTAGTAATATTAAAAGTGCCTTTATAACTAGTAAAGAAAGTGTTATTATTAAAGTAGTAATAGAAGAAAATAACTATTAATAAATAGTAAAGAAATCTAACTATAGTAACTACTTATTTACTTTTACTACCTTACTTTTTATTAGCCTTATTATATTAATCTTTATTTTTATTACTTTTATATAAATCTATTAATAACTTATTATTAGCTATATATATTAGGTTATTAGCTTTACTACTATATAACTTATTAAGGCTAAAGTTATCTAGCTTATTATATATTATAAAGTTAGAAAAGCGTTAACTTATATAAATAATTAGTAAGGATAAATTACCTAGTTATATAAAGGAAAAAATAAAAAGACTATTTACTACCTAGAGGTTAGTATAGTTATACTAAGAAATACAACCGTACAAAAGAGTACGTAGGTCACCTGTTTTGTTACTATAATTAAATAGTTACACACTTATAAGGGCAATTAATATCTAACTTACCCCCTTAAGGGCTTACAAAGCTTATAGGCCTTAGACACGTTATGTTATATGAGGTAGAAACCCTAGATTCCTAGGTAAAGACCCTCTATTATGTGTGTCGCGACCGTGCATCAAACTCAGTCAATTAACTAGGAGCTGGGCTTATAACCACTAAGAAATGCGACCGTACAAAAGAGTACGTAGGTCACCTGTTTTGTTACTACAATTAAATAGTTACACACTTATAAGGGTAATTAATATCTAACTGTTATAACTACTAGATTTAATTTAACTAACTAAATCTACTCTTCTTAAAGTTACTTATCTTATTAGTTATAGTATTTATAACAAGCTACTTATTAACCTTCTTAACTTTATTAACTTTATTAGTAGAATATAGTAATTTATATTATTAGTTAGAGCTAGTAAAGTTATATCTATTAAATATAGTAGAATTACACGTAAATTAGCTGGTAAATACACAGTTACCCTATAGCAAATTGTTAGGGAATAGGCAGTAAATTAGCCCTACTTCTAACAGTAACTTTACTAATAATATTACTAGGATTAGCTAGAGATTTCCTAACTAAGAAATAAAGGTTTTTCCTTATTTCTATAGTAATTTACTATAGATATATAACATATAATAGAATTAATTAAGTAACTATTATAATCCTTACTATTTAATAATTAATAGTCTAATATATATATCTATAATAACTAACGTGCCTATCTACTAATTAAATACTATTATAATAATTAATAAGAACTATAATAATAAGGTAACTATTCTATAATTATATAGTAATTAGTTTATATAGCTTAACGCTATCTAAGTAAAAGTAAAGCGTTATAATCTCTAGGAGTATATTTATTAAATTATAGGGATTATAATAGTTACTTAATTAATTCTTATGTGTTATATATCTATAGTAAATTACTATAAAAATAAGGAAAACCCCCTATTTCTTAGTTAGGAAATCCCTAGCTAATCCTAGCGATATTATTAGTAGACTTACCCTAAAAGTAAGGCTAATTTACTGCCTATTTGCTAATAATTTACTATAAGGTAACTATATATTTACTAGTTAATTTATATATAATTTTACTATATTTAATACACCCCCTTAGCGCTAGTAACGCAGTTAATTACTATAGAGCCTGCGCTAAATATCCTCTATATATAGCTTATTTATTTATTAATTATCCTTTAATATCCTATACGTTTTCCTTCTCTATCTAGTAGTAAAGCTTTATTTTATTATTAGCTAATTCTTACTATTAATTTACTTTAAGGCGTACGTATTAGTTACTTATATTTAATTAAGCTATAAATATAGTAAATTATAGTGCACTAAGCGTCTTTATTAATCTATTAGCTATTAATTTAGTAGACTTCTTATATTTAATAGTAATCTAATTTACTACTACTTCTTATTACAGCTAGTAGTTATAAATATCTATATACTATAGCCTTATCTATAGTTAAATAAGCTCTTTAGTAATAAGCTTAATAGTCTAGGTATTATTATAGCTAATATAAATAGTTAGTAGCTATTTAGTAGCTACCTACTTATTAAGTAATAATTTAGTTCTTATTTATATTAATAGTTAAATACCTAGCGTAGTAATTAATCTACTAGTAAAAAGTACCTCCTTTATAGTAAATAATAGGGCTAGTAATTTAGCCTTAGTAGTTAATATTATTACTATATCTTATTTATTTACTTACTAGGAGATAAGCCTTTTAAATAGCTTTAGTGCGTATACTTATAAGCTGTAATAGTCTAGTAAGTTATTAGTAAATAAGGCGTCTAAAGTAACCTCTAACTTATTATTTTTACTACCTAGCGTTACTTTATATTTAAGATAAAAGTACTATATTTAATAGAGATACCTAAGCACTTAATTTACTACCTTTTAGTAATCTAGATTTAGATTATAGTTAAAGTAGGTAAGCTAGCTAGCTATAAAGGTAATATCTAGCTAAGTTATTAGTACTATATAAAGAATTATCCTTACTTTTTTTTAA